TTAGACTCCTTTGCTGAGTCAGCTTCCCTATGATGTTCCTTAACTGTGGGTGTTCCCTAGAGTTCTGTCTTCTGGGTTCATCTTCTCCCCCCCCCCCCCCCTCTCTCCCCCCCCTTCTCTTCCTCCTTCTCCTGTCTCTCCCCTTTCCCCCCTCCCGTCCTCCTCCTTCTCTCTGTCCCCTTCTTTTCATTCCCCTCTTTCTTGGTCTGTCTCTCCCCCTGCTCCTTCTTTTCTCCCTCCTCCCCATCTAGTCTCATTATCTCTAATCAGATGACTCCAAGATCTATATATCTACCAGTAATCTTTCCCCTTCTTTAGTCTGAATATATTAGAACCATCTCAAACTTGACATGTTCAAAGCAGAACTGATCTTTTCTCCACAACTCATGTCTTTTCCATACTTCCCCATTTTTGTCAGAGCCACTACCACTTGCCACTCTCCTTGATTCCTCATTCTCCTAATCCAGTCAGTTGCCACATCTTGCCAATTCTACCCCTATAACATTTCTTAATTTTACCCCTCCTCCCTACTTCCACAGATGCACCAATATTTGAAGTCTTAATCGCCTCTAGCCTAGATTATTGGAACAGCCTCAAGTCTCTCTCCACTCTGATCCGTCCTCCACACAGTTGTCAAAGTGATTTTTCTTAGGCATCGATCTGACCTTGTTACTGTCTGACTCACTAAACTCCAATGGCTCCCTACTCTGACTAAGATCAAATATAAACTCTTCTTGTTACGTTTTAAAGGTGTCATGAGTGAAATTCAACAAGGGTAGACTGAGGCACACATTCTGTGAGTAAGATAAGAGTTTATTAGCAGGGTATGAACCTGATAATAAATCGGGTCTAATGACTCCAAAAGACCCCTAGATCAAAATACAGTGCCTTTTTATAAAACTAGAACAAAGAACACAACAAGGTAGGTGAGGAAAAAAATACAGTTGGTTTATAGGATTGGCAGCATCATGGGGATGAGTACAACATGATTGGTTACAAAGCAGAGGCATGGGGAACAATGTGATTGGTTGGAAGTTGGGAATGAGGGGCTAGCAACAATCCCCTCCTTCCCTTCTGTGACTGAGAGAAGTTCTTCGTTTGAGTCTACCTGCAAGGTTAGAGATAGTGGACCAGATGTCTTTGGATAACAAACCAGACATTCTTGAAGAACTCCTTTGTCTGGGGGGACAGGAATGGAAAGGAGGAATAATATATTTGCATTTGTATGTGGAGATTTCTCTTGAATGATCTTTTTTTGTCTCCCTAACACTTAGCACACAGTACCTGGCCCAAAGCAGGCCCTTAATAATGATTGCTGATGAATTGATGGATCAAGTCCAGTCCTCTTTTCCCTGTACCACTTTATCTCCTAGCTAAGGAGTCCTAGAACTTCCAAGGGAAATAGAAATATTAATATTCCAATTAAGACATCTAAAAAGGCAAGAGAGCCAGAGTCATGGCCTGGATGACATCTCAAGCTCCCTTCAGCCCTTTGATTCTAAGATGCTTAAGATTATACCTGCCTGGAAGGGGAAGTGGAGGTCAGTTCTTCCTCAGCTCCTAGATGAGTTCACTATTCACCCTTTTCAGCCTTTTGATTCTAGGATTCTTTGAAGTTTTATTTCAGTATTAGCTGAATATAAGCACAATAGCAACTTGATGGGTTAGGCCAGAGTGGTCTTCCCTTAAATAATGGCTCTACATTCCTTGTCCCAAGCATTGCCTAGAACTGGTTTCTTTTATATCATAGACAGTCTATTCAGAAATTAATGTTCTGATTACTAATTTATATGTGGTAGAAGTTTTGATTCGTTAATGGAATTAATATGTGTTTGTTTATTTAATAGCTGTGAACACCTCCTTGACGGAATCAACTCTGAAGAATGTCCCTCAAGTAGTCAATGTGCAGGAATTGACAAACAGTTCCCCAATTCCCACTGCAGCATTAGGGTATGTAATTACTTCCACTACCTCACCATTTCTTCTAAATCTTACATTATTAAACTAGCAAATAATTCTGTAATAAGGATTAGCTGCCAGTAGAGTACAGTATTGTTGCTTTGTACAATTGGAACACTTCCCTGCAGAAACATTTGGCTTTTCTTCAGAACAGTAGTATACCCATTTTAACTCTTGTGTCTGTGTCTGTGTCTGTGCCTCTGCGTGCGCACGTGCTCACATTGTGTTTTCGAGAATTCTGCATCTTTTTTTCTGAAGTCTCTTCAAGAATGACTGCTTAAGAGTGTTTGGGCAAAAGAAAAAGATTTCTTGGATTAGACTTGTTCTTTTAATTTTGTCCCCTAGTCATATTTTCAGTTTGCCTCAACCATGCGAAACGCTATGTAAATTGCAAGACATCATTTGAATTCTTAGCTGATAGGTTTCAGAAAATAGACTTCAGTAATGCAGACTGTTGATTCTGGTGAATATCAGTGTTAGAGTTGATGTTAATAACAGTCCCTGTTTGCCCTTGATTCCTCCCTGTAGTCATTTGTATTCTTCTAGGTTCTCTGCTTTTTTGAGAAGGGGAAATAAAGTACTTTCTTCTTCTTTTTTTTTTTTGGTGTTTTGTTTTTGGTTTTTGTAGGCAGTTGGGATTAAGTGACTTGCCCAGGGTCACACAGCTAGTGTCAAGTGTTTGGTCTGAGGCCGGATTTGAACTCAGGTACTCCTGACTTCAGGGCCGGTGCTCTATCCACTGCGCCACCTAGCTGCCCCTTGAAATAAAGTACTTTCCGAAAAAAAGGCAAACCAGCTATGTTGGTTTTGAGTCTTCCAGCTGCCCTTTTAATCCTGTATTTCCTATGCTGTCTGGTGTTTTTAATAGGAATGGGTACTGTAGTTTGTCAAAAGCTTTTTCAGCATCTGTCGAGATAATCATATGATTTCTGCTGGTTTTGTTATTGATATGGTCATTATATTGATAGCTTTCCTAGTATTGAACCAATCCTGCATTTCTTGTATAAATTCCACCTGGTCATAATGTATAATCCTTGTGATATATTGCTATAATCACCTTGCTAGTATTTTGTCCAAAATTTTTGCATTGATATTCATTAGGGAAATTGGTCTATAATTTTCTTTCTCTATTTTAACTCTTCCTGGTTTAGGTATCAGTACTATGTTTGTGTCATAAAAGGAGTTTGGTAGGATTCCTTCTTTGCCTGTTTTTCTGAATAGTTTATGTAGTATTGGAATTAATTGTTTCTTAAATGTTTGGTAGAAATCACTCATGAACTCATCTGGCCCTGGGGATTTTTTCCTAGGGAGTTTACTAATGACTTGTTCACTTTCTTTTTTCTAAGATGGGGCTATTTAAGCATTCTATTTCCTGATCTGTTAACCTAGGTAGTTTATATTTTTGTAAATATTCATCCATTTCACTTAGATTGTCAAATTTGTTGGCATATAATTGGGCAAAATATTTCCTAATGATTGTTCTAATTTCTTCTTCATTGGTGATGATTAATCCTGTATTTGAGGTTTAGCACAGCTGTTTGGTGATCATTTTCTGTAGTACACATCTGTTCATAGAACCTGGGTTTCTGCTTTTCTGTTATTCTGGACATTACATTAGTAGTGTCTTGCTTTACTTTACTCAGAGGATTGTATAGGCATTATTTTGTTAAGTCTAGGAAACATCCCTTCTAGCATAACTAGGAATTACGTAATATTCTGCTTGTTTAGATGGAGATTTTGAAGCCTCTTGTCTTTCAAGAAAGACACGTAGAGCTTAATTATAAGAAAGGAAGGCTATTTTAAACTATGGGCCGCAGATTGGGGATTTCCCCAAAGTACTAGCCTTTGGCTTGCAGAGTTGTAAAGTATACTTAAGTTTGTACCCACCTGGAACAAAAGGTCAGTTCTTCCTAGGTTTCCAGATGGGTTCACTATTCCATCTCTGGTTTATCAAATAGGCCTATCCCTTGTGTCCTGTGGCCTTCTCTCTTTTCCCCTTCTAGCACTGAAGAGCACAGCTTGTTCTGTCAATTTTTTGGTTATCTCAGGGTCATTCCAACAATCAAAAGACAGGCTTGTCTGCTTTTTGGTTTTGCTCTTGACCTTGGTATGCAGTTATTTAGATCAAGATAACATTTCAGGCCACTCTGCACTTTTCAAGAGGCAGGATTATACATGAGAAGGATTGGAAATTTTACAGATTCTTAGTGTCAAGATAGAAAAATTTACTTTAAGTCAGAGTATTACAGTAAGGAGTGAAAAACCCCTCCTGTCTGGAATTGCTATTGCTCACGCCTGTTGCCCACGCTCTTGAGAGGCACATATTGGAGTGATTTCAATTTACCAATTGTCAAGATTACTTTCTCTCAAGTGAATAGATAAATTGATTGATTCATAAAGGGTTTGGTGGAGGAACAATTCATACTCTACTGTTCTGTCCTGAAAATAGTAGGTCAATAAAATATGCATCTTGTGGGAATAATAATAGCAACAACTCATATAATACTTGGGTTTTAGTCAGTTCTCTTAAAATAACCTTATGAGATGGGTTTTACAAAAATTATTATTTCCCATTTTACAGATGGGAAAACAAGGTTATTAGAAAGGTCAGAGTATCATATTTAGAGCTGGAAGAAGCCTCAGGGGCATTCTTCTTTTGCAGCCCCTTATTTTTACAGCTGAGGAGGCTGAGGTTTAGAGAGATTAAGTGATTTGCCAGTGAGACACACCTACTAAATGTCTGAAGAAGGATTTGAACTCAAGTTTTTCTGATTCCCAAGTCCATCATATGTTCCGCTATGCCATACTGTCTCACATACTGTCCCTCATAAGTGACTTACCTGAAGTCACACATAAATGTCCAAGAAAAACCTTGAAAACAGGTCCTCTGACTCCATGATCACTGTTCTTTACATTGTACTTTGGTATTTTTTCATTATACTTTGTTATCTATTCCTATGTCCTTAGAAAAGGTCTCTGGTACTGCATATTGACTCTGAGCAAACCCAATGTATGAAATTTTACTTGGTCTACATTAATTTCTTATACCTTCCTCCCCATTGTATACTCTTTGATCCAGTAACACTTGCCTCCTGGCTGTTCCATGAACAAAACACTCCATCTCTTGGCTCCAAGGATTTTCTTTAGCTTTTCTCCATGCCTGGAATACTCTCCCTCATTCCTACTTACTGCCTTCACTGGCTTCCTTTAAGTCCCAACTAAAATCTCACCTTCTACATGAAGCCTTTCTTGCCTTTCCCAACCTCTTTTAATTCCAGTGCCTTCCCTCTGTTCATTATTTCCTATTTATCTTGTATATAACTTGATTATATATTTGCATGTTCTCTCCCCAGTAGATTATGAGCTCCTTGTCTTGCTAATTTTTATATCCCCAGCACTTAGCACAATTCCTGGCACATAGTAGGTGATTAATAAATGTTTATTAATTGATTGATTAATTTAAGTACCTATATGGCAGCTAGGTGGTGTAGTAGATGGAATGCAGTACTTGGAATCAGGAAGACCTAAGTTCAAATCCTGATTCAATTCTTACTAGCTTTGTGATCCGGACTAAATCACTTTACTTTCTGTGTCTCAGTTTTCTCATCTGGAAAATAGAGGCTTCACAGGGTTGTTGTGAGGATCAAATGAATTCACATGTGTAAGGCACCTTGCTGACCTTAAAGTACTATATAAATACTAGCTATTATTAGTACTATATGCATATACTGTGTGAGGTCCTGGAGGTGATAGAAGATAATTAAGTCCCGGTGCCTTTGGCAGATATAGTGAAGTTTGGATTACGTTCCTTCCAGAGTCCTAGTTTCATAGTCTTGGTGTTGTCCTGGACTCCTGATCATCTTTCTCCCCCAAGATCCGATCATTTGCCAAATCTTGCTGTTTCTACCTTTATGAAATCTCACATCCAACTCATTTTCTTTACTCAGCAATTCCCACCTTAGTACAGGCCCTCATCACTTCTTTCCTAAGTTGTTGTAGTGGTGTCCTAATTGATTCCCCTCAAGTCTCTCCCCACTCCAATCCAGCCTACACACTGCTGCCAAAGTGATTTTCGGCAAACACAGATCTCACTACAGACAGTTCTTGCTTTTCCATGAGTGGACTGTTCCACAGACCTCTAAGTAAAGTGAATTTTATGTAATGTGAATTTGCCTGCAGATTTGGGGAAGAAAGTCTTTGTGATTCCTTTATAAAAAAATATTACTGTATTCCATTCATTAAATCATGGGCACTTAGTCTTGGAAGCAACATAAGAGCAATAGATGGAAAAACATACTAAGATTTAGAACTCACTAGAAGTGGAATGTATTTCTCCTTACTAGAAGTAGAATCTGGAGGGCCACCTTCTTCACATGTGGGCTGGACTAAATGGCCTCTGAGGTATTTTCCATTTCCTTGAGTCTGTGATTTCTTCTCCATCTCTTCCTTTTACAAACAAGGAGGCAGGTACATAGAGGTAAAATGTCCAAGGTTATGCATACAGCATGTTGTGAGTGAATCCACTTATAAAAGGGATTGGGTGTGATATTGGACATCAAACTCTGCTGGGTCAGGATTCAAGCTAGTTCTTTCCTTCGTTTCTGAATTTCCAAAAAAAAACAAAGTGAATTTTTCTGCTATCCAGAGCAATGAAGTTCCTCTAGTTTAGATTGAAAGCTTTCATATGCTTTGTACCCAGAGAGTTTGTGTGACAGTTGCCTTGTTTTTCCTTACTACTACTAGGATTTCATCTTTGATATTGAATCTGAAGATTCAATTAATTAGATTAATTAATTCAATTAATTAGAACCTGCTTTGAGGAAAAAAATTATCATTGGTCAGAATCCAATACTTTGGTTAAGGAAATGTATGCCAAGCTGTCTACCAAAGTAACTTGCTACTCCTGGGACATTGACCCTTAAATGAAGAAATACATCTCTCCTCACTGGAGAAAGGATGTTTACCAAAGTGAGACATTACATTGTGCCTGG